TAGTCTCTAGACAGTTTTTCATAGGACCAGGCCTATAGTATACTATTATTAGTAGGCCTAGGGGCCTAGGTCTATTATTATGAAAAAAAAAATGCACTAGCACAATTAATGTGACAAAGATGGCATGGCATGACAAGCCTAGGCTAGGCTAGTAGTAGAAACCTACTATCTCGTGCGAACTCACCTGCTGCGGCACTGGAGCAGTGTCCCGGACAGGAGTGCGCTACTGCTGCTGGGTAGACACTGACTGTGCTAATCCTAGGCATATGTGTAGGCCTAATTATAAACAAACAGGTCAAGTCATCGGACTGATATACGTTTATTAATTTTTGAATTATTCCTCCATGATTGAATTGACGTTGACTAAACCGTCTCTCTGTAACTGCGTACGTAAACGATCACAAAAACTCACGACTTCACACTAGCGTACTGTATCTAGGCTAGTCGCTCGATCGTCGGGACGAGTTTTCGATCAGCTGCTCGCCAAAAATTAATTGACAGACTTGTCTTGAATATTAATGAGTTGGTTAGAAAATGCTACCAAGCTACTGAAGAAAGTGATCAGCCTCGTTTTCACCTGATTTTCCTGTCTCATCATATCATGTTTTGTTTCTGTAATTATCCTTACATCTCAACATTTTGAATTTTTTAAGTATTTTTCCCGAACTCAGGAAAGGTTAAAGAATCTGTCTCTTATACACATCTAGCCCGCACCCCCCCCCCCCCTTTAAAGAGTAAAATAAGAGCTATAAAATGGTAAAAAAATCATTCAAATCCATATTTCCTCATGACGTTATAAGCGTTTAAACATACAGTTGTTTAAAGAACAATATATGAGAAATCATCCTTCAAAGTTTATGATTTCAGGCATTTCTCATGCAGAAACTATCATCAAATCCTTAAAAAGTGTTGTTTTAACATTGAAAATGGGAAAAATAACAGCATAGCATGAGGTTAGTTTAGTGCAAATGTTAGTTTAGTGCAATAAAATAGATTTAAAAAAAATTGACATTCCAGCATGTTTTGGCCATTTTCTCTGAAACATGATTTGCGACGAGTGACTTGTCTTTTTTTTTTGGTGGTTTGGCTTGGCTTGTTCTTGCCACATATATATATAATGAGTCCTAATGGGAAAGCCGAAGGGTATATACCACTTGGCCTCATAGCTCAGTTGGTAGAGTATCCAAATGGTAATTGGAAGGTCTTGGGTTCGAATCCCGATGGAGACATGCGTTTTTTTCAGAAATTTATTATCTTGTATATATTATGTTAAGGCCTAAAAACACATAGACAAAGGACTGCTGTAGCTTTATATTTTTATAAAATGCCTGTCAAATTACCCTATTGTTTAATGTCATTGTTCCACAGACTATTGCACTGGGTCCTTTATTCTTTAATACAATGCTTTGTTTTCCACTAGACATTCCTTGTTTCTTAAGGCAGGCTCAGGTCGACACGGAACTCAACTCAACTCAACTCAACTCAACTCGTCGACATGAGCGCTCCGCGCAACTGAAAGGAACTGACCGGAACTGAACGGAACTGACCGCAACTGAAAGGAACTGACAGTCGCGCATATTTGTCGACATGAGTCAAGTTGAGTTGAGTTCCTTTCAGTTGCCCATGTTCAACTTTTTGCGGAACTGAAAGGAACTGAAAAAAGCGCGAAAAAAATGCTGATTCGGAACTCAAAGGAACTGAAAACGTTGATCCTGATATTAATCGTAATCAAGGTGCATTAACTGAAAAAAGATATTATATTACAATGTTTTGTTAATGGCAGATTACTTTATCTTTGTTTTAAAAAATATAGGCCATAGGCCAGATTTTTATTCTAACACATTAACAAATAGGCCTAGGTTAGGCCTAATAATAATAATAATAATAATAATAATAATAATAATAATAATACAGTATATACTTACCATATTCTAGCTAGCCTGGGCTAGGCCTAAAGTGTAGAAAAAAGGCAGGCTTCTATGCCAGGCCTACTAGCCTACGTCTAACTCTACGTACGACGAGAATGTAAAGACTTGACAACTAACTGGCATGCAGATCTCACTCCCAAAATCCATTTTTACGAATTATAAATAATCCAGTAATTCTTGGGAGTGTGCATTGTTTTTGAAGTTAGTTTTGTACAAATTCTTTAACAGTAGAATATTTATCTAGGGTCTAGGTTTAAGTCAAGAAAAGCTAAATTCCTTTTTCAGAAAGTCCCTCTGCAGTGTACTGTTAAATTATGAATTCTATCAAAAGTATGCTGCTGCATTCGCGTAATATTAAATTAATACATTTTTATAACATATTTGACAGCTGATTCATGTAAACATTGTCACGTATAAAATGCATTCACTTTTTGTTTTTGTTTTTGTTTTTTCATATAGAAAAAGACCTTTCTTGTTTTAATTGTTCCACCAGATTTTGCATGAACCCATTTCAAATAGACCAATATGCGATACACTTTTCTAAATTAAAAAAAAAAAAAGAGTAGATAAACTTCAAAAATAATTTTATTATTTTTAACCAAACGTCTAATCTTACAAGCATTCAAACATTTATTTGCAGTTGATGAGATTTCGAAGAAAATGAAATCTTTACAAACTCAATTCTGTCGACTACAAACAGGCACCATTTGTTTCAGTTGCCGGTCGACATTTTCAAAACAAAACAATAAAGTAGATACACTTTTTTAAATAATTACATGTCTTAATAAAAACATTACAGACATTTTGCAGTTGATGGGATTTCGCAGGGAAAATGTTTTTAGCCAATAGTTCCTTTCAGTTGCCAGTCGACATGAGCCAAGTTCCTTTCAGTTGCGTTCAGTTGCGTTCAGTTCCTTTCAGTTGCTCAAAGTCGACATGAGCTCAGTTCCTTTCAGTTGCGTTCAGTTCCTTTCAGTTGCGCGGAGCGCTCATGTCGACGAGTTGAGTTGAGTTGAGTTGAGTTCCTTTCAGTTCCGTGTCGACCTGAGCCTGCCTTTACAAGTATGATATAGCACATTGAACACTAGGTTTAATTGTCTATTGAACAATGCCTTGTGAGAGAAGACATGGCTGGCTGTGACTATAATGGACCATGCGAGGTGTTAACCATTCAAACTTAACTGAGCAATCAGAATAGCGGGATGTTCTCCCACAAACACATGTGCGTACGTATGTTTTTACAGTCGTTTTTATGGAACCTTAGCAAAAATATCCACGGGGCGGAGCTTAGTGGATTATGGCTATGAACTTTAATAATTGAGTTGTTTCTGGAAACTATTTAACCCTCTAGATACCGTCTTCGACTGTAGTCGAAATTGACCTCAAACCGAGAATTCCCATTTTCGACTGCAATCGAAATTTAGTGACTAAAAAATAGGTGGTTTTCAAATCGCTCCTGTTTTTATTTTAGCTCCAATACTTCAGAAATTTTGAACACGCATGCGTGAAGCTTTCTTCTTTCGAAATCTGTGAAGAACTCACATGCGCTTATATAAAAATGTTTAGAAATATCAATTTGAAATCGTTATTAATTTCGAAAATTTTCTGAAATGGCCGCACAAGACGTGTACACAGCTGAGGAAGCGATTAACCTGATTTTTGATTCAGACAGCGATGAAAGTGAGTTTTTAGGTGTGCGAGACTTAGACGTGCCTGATAGCGATGATGACGGTGGGGCTTCAAACAGTTCTGACGGCGGAGATGTTCTTGATGAAGATGAGTCTAGGCCTAGAAATGTGAGGGTGGTCGTTGCTTTTGAATGGAAAATCGTGTTTATAGTTATGGATGGTTGGGTAAATAAATTATATAACTGTGTAGAATAGGAATGTTTATATTTGTTTTTATTTTTTTTTTTGCTATAATTTATTTTTTTTTTTTGGTTTTTGCTGATGATTTGTATGTAGCATTTTTCTGTCATTTCTATTATATTATATATATTATATTATATTATATTATGAATAAAAAATCCTAAAAATATAAATTATATATCAAATGAAAGCTTATTCTATAAGCTTTCTTTGTTTTTGAAACATTTTTCTGTATAATTTACAGAAAGTTCCCAAAATCCACCAGAACGACGTATACTCAAAAAACGCAAAAAACCTTGTTACACTGCAAATGAATCCGGTATTCAAGGGTTTGCACTACAAAAGAATCCGGTATCCAGAGGGTTAAAATAACTACACACAGATCATATAATACATGAACGTGTAGATGCATTGCTTTTTTAATCATTTAATCATTTTTAATCTGTAAAAAATGACATTCCTATCAAATTTTTTCAGCAAGTTTAATGATCTTCAGGCCCAGAAAACAATCAGCCTAATGTAAAATCTCACCTTGATGGTGTCAATGTGGTAATCTCTTCCCCTACAACTTGTATCACACGCTTTCCAAGGAACCATAATCCAAGTGAAATGCCCACACCACCAAATAATAAAATCCACAATGGAGTTTCCCATGCAGCATCTACTTGCCCCGTCTGGTAAGTAATCCAAATGGAGATCACAGGCCCGATAGCATTACTGTAAGATAAGAAAGAAAACCATACTGAAAAGACATTTGGAAAAAATGCTACCTTAGCCACTGGAGGTTCTAGTCCATCATGTTTGTATTTATATATAGCACTGAAAATGGCTAAAGCAGTTGATTTTTTTTTTCGCCAATCTAAAATAATTATATATCAATTTCCGCCCATGGCGATTTGGCGATTAGTTAGCATGAGCCCAGCCCTTCCTGACCGCGTACCAATATTTCACCCCAACCCCCTGCGAGCCCATCTGCTCAAATCTGGGCCTATCCTGAGGTATCTTCCATGCTATTAAAACACTACAGTAAACCATAACAACTCCCTGAAAACAAAATATCCGATACATTGCAGACTGCTAAGACAAATCCAGCAAGAAGTAGGCTTATGGTTATAGGTGACTTGACATTATTTGGATTTAAACTTCTAGAAAAAGTCAGTCCTGCATCTTTTTAACCAATCAAAAGATTGTATTTTGAAGTCATTTCATATCCATAGGCAAAGTGCTATGGACAATATGGGTGGGAAGAAAATGCACAGTAGAACAAAATTTTAATGATGAGTGATAAAATGGGGAAAATAACTACTGTCACATGGTAAGGAATGAACCAATCAAATGACTGTGATCTATTTAGGTGTGTTATAATACATAATAATCTAGAGATGATAAAATTTTGGGAAAGAAAAGGTCAAAGGACTTAGACTTTTGGAGCAGGGGGAAAATGGTTATTTACCATTACCTGCTAGGGTCAGTTTAGTTTAAAATTACGGTGTACGGAGAGAAGAAAGAAAAAATATCATATTTAGGCCTATTTATTACTATAGTACTTCAGTTGGTGTAGGTTTTTGGCTCGTGGTGTGCTGCCATTTGCGTGCATGTGTATGACTACCATCTGCGCGCTTACAGTACTTTATTCATGAATAACAGCAAAGAACTGATAACAGTACACGCAGAGCAGATACAAGTTACATCATGGAGCAACCGCCAGAAAAGAAAGTGAAACAAAACACATTGTTTTCTTATTTCAAGAAACCGCCAGATACTGTGAGTATAGGTACGTCATGTCCAAATGATTGAAAACGACAATCACGCGATAAACGCGATTGGGATTGTCTAACCGTTTCTAGCGTTAAACGTCCATGCTGAAGCTCATTAACTTTGCTCATTGAATATTCATAAGCTGGGGACGCCCCTCAAAGCGAGCTGTTGTCGATTACAGCAATGCGTTTAAAACGCCGAACTCGCGAGTCTCGCGATGTATTATAATGCATTATATTGTGTCGTGTAAAGTTGTTTTATATCGTCATTTTATTGCGTATTTTACTGAAAATGTTTAGCTTGGCATCGGAGTAAGTTATAGCAGGGGACAGTTAAATTGGTTTAAAGATTAGGCCTACGTTCTACCGATAAAGTTAGGTTAGCTAGCCTACACTAGATAGTAGTTTAGTCAGGCCTGTTGCCTGTATGCCTATACAATGAAGCAATATTTCAAGAAAAAAAAATTAATTGAAAGCTTTCTATTCGTTTTTAATGTAATAGGCACAGGCCTAATATCAAGTTGCTAGTACTGAAAGTTGCCTAGTAACTGTGAAATCTTAGGATGAGAACAGTGAAATCATTGAGAAACGTTCACATAAAGTAGGTTGATGAGAATCAGATACGAGGTCAGTCACCTCCGATTCTTTTTGAAGGGTGCAGGTCAACTCGGCCACAAGTCAACTCGGCCACAGTCAACTCGGCCACAAGTCAACTCG